CTCCTTAGTTCCGGTTTACATGTCTCACTCTGGCGAAACCTGTGAACTCTTGTGAAGCTGGAACAAGGTCGTCAAGCCATCATGTTAAAACCTGTCAACTCGAGAAGAGGCTGTCTAGATAGGTCGACACGTCGATGGGAAGTAGCAAAAGTGCAAAATGCCCCCCCCCCTTCGTCAAACTGCGCCTCCGTTTACATGTTGTACTCACCAGTAAGTATGAAAAATGAGTGTATGGCATGTGGCTTCAACGTGTCGTCGACCGTGTTTTCAGCGGCTGCCAATGCTTGGGCAAAAATGAGACCTCCATAAGCAGCTCTGGACGACCCTTGGCGGAAGGTGACCAAATTCGATGTCCTGAAAAAGGGCAACTGAAGACAAGTGACCAGTACACTTCGGTGAGGAGGGGGGGGTGAGGATACCGGCCTGCCTGCGTATTGCAACTGCTTTCTTACAATGATAATTGTACTTCAGTTGAATATTACAACTGGGAGGTACAGTGGGAAGGAGGTCGTAAAAGAGGAGGAAATTTTGTGCGGAGGTTTTTTGCGAAATTCTCTTCCACAACGAGATGACCCTGAGTGGAAAGTACAATGGGTGTCGTAACTGGCCTTTGGGGGAGAGAGAGTTGTGTGGCACACTGGAGGAGTTTGCTCCTAAATGTCGATTTTTTTTCGGCTGCACGCGTCATATTATCCCCTTCCGTGACGAAATTTTTGGAAAAATAGTATGATGGTGGGTAGGTTGCGGAAGGGCAGGTTGCGTCTAGCAAAAATTAGCAGCAACGCGGAATGATGCGCCCTAATTCCAAGTTGAGACTATTTGGAGAAGTAGTTGTCGGATTACAGTAGTCCCAATTTTGCATACAGTCCTCATCATTGCGGACCGGTGGGGCGTGGCAGTGCGGCTGCGTTTGGTGCGGTTTGGCAAAATCGTTCTGCACCAGTTTTTGAAGCGGGCAAGTGCATTACTGTATTATATCCTTCGTATCACTCGTTTTCTACCACTTTTTGTCGCATACGCGTTGCAACAAAAAAGGCTGAGAACGGCTTCAACAGTGTGCGCACTCCTTCTGGCTGGCACGCCCCACCGGTCCGCAATGATGAGGACTGTACGTAGTTTCGCAAAGCAAAAAACGAGTCACGCGTCGGTTGATTTTTTTTCAAGGATTAATGTGTGAAAGGGTGTGCAAATCCCGGTTTGCTGATGAAGATTTCAACTAGGTCGAGGGGAGAGAAAGGGGTTCTGTGTTGGTGACCACTTTACCAATTCCAGAACTTCTACCGCCTAGGCTTTTCCGCCTTTTTATGTAAGAAAAATGTCTTCGGCGTACTGTATAATCTTCACTAAAACGTCCCGCGGTGCAATTCGGCTTGGTGGGCGCATTTTCCTGGTTCTCTTAGGATCACTGCTAATGCCTTTTATGAAAACCTGTGAATTCCTGTAAATCCATGCAACAGCAGAAGCTTCGTTTACACTTGACATAATTCTGCAGGTCTGATCAGGGTGAAACGTGTAATTTCACACGAGCTAAAAAAAGAAAAGCAAAAGTGCAAAGCGAAAGTGCCTGCTAAGCCGAACAGCCGCGCTCCGATTCATCGCGAAGGACTCGAATGTACGTATTCTTTGGTCCTTCTGGAATTCAATGAATGCATGGAGAACAATCTCTGCACCGGCTGTCACAATATTGTTGACGGCCAATTCATCAGCGAAAAAAGAAAAATATCAACCAAATAAATGAAACAGTTTCATACCTGAATACATCCTGTTCGACTTGTTCAAAGACGAAATAACGCTTTGCATATGTTTCGAAGTCTTTCGACATTTGAGGTATTGGTGGGGTCTTTCGATGGACGAATCTCGCTTGGGTCAGAGGTCGTGATAAGGTGATAGTACAATCAGCGGTGACGACTTTGGAGAGTTGACGCACCAGTGACGATTGCATTGTCTATCTGCAGCGTGTTTAGGGGTGGTAAACGGGCAGAATGTGGCCCTCCTCGGCCCACACGCTCTTTCTACTCCTAGATGAATGCAATTAGCACTAGAGTGTAGCCCGCGATTCAAACATCACTGATCTTTTTCGATCATTATGACAAATACGCGAAGAATAGAAGCAAGCTAAAATATGAACAGCTGACGATATGGAATCCGTACGATAAAGCAGGTAGATGTCGAAAGTGACGTGGAGTTCGGTGTGTTGTGTGTATTGCTGCTCGAAGGCATTTTGTTTTACGTCACTTTTTTGTTACTGTTAGATTGAGGTGAGGCATGCGTAACGCAAGTACTAAACCCCAAACTATACCGTAGACACTGAGTACAGTCACAAACCTAAGGTCGCAATGTGTCCAACGAAGAAAAAAAAGCCTAAAAAACCCTTGAAGAATACCTTGAATAAGGACCCGTGGCAGCCCCACTGTTCGAGTTCTCCGACCTGCTCGTTTTAATGCCAGCAAAGCGGTACCCTACCGTCTCAGTGTCACTAATCGTTTCTTCTCGTCATACAGTGCTAATACAGTGAGAAGAAAACTGTAAAAAATGAACTCGACAAACAGCTTCAGTGGGCGGGTCAACTAGGAAGGCGTCAGAACTGCCACTTATGAGGGCCACAGCGCCTTCGTTACTTACTGTGAAGCCGCGGAAGCGGGATAATCTCAGAGAATGAGCTACAGACTGCTTGTGAGGAAGCACGCCTACGGAGTGGTTCAGCGCAGGTAACGTCTTGCTGGAGAGACTGCGGTAATGAAAAATGTCGCCCAAACTTTTCACGGGTCAACTTGACCTGCAGTATGTGAAGAGGAGAATGCTTGGTTGGAAGATCGCCTCAACTCAGATAGTGAATTGGCGAGTGAAAAGGAGTGAGTACAG